AACTGACCCAAAGGGTTGCTTGGGATTATTTTAAAATGAAGCGCATGTAATGTAGCATTTTTAACACCCAAATAAGAGCTCATTAAGTGCTCCATAATGAAACATGGCAATAGAACAACAGGAGCAGGGTATTTATTATATGAGTCAGGAGAAGCCAGCAGCACTAAGCACTAAGCAGTGTTTCACAGCAGCAGATGGTGTTGTGATGTTCGCAGCAAGAAAGGATGGTTTTGCACAGGATAAGGAATTCCTTTCCTACTCTGCTGCTGAACGCAATAATGCACAAAGGATTGCAGGATACATCACATGGGAAATTTCCCACCCAGGACTTGCTATTTCAACCATAATTTTTTTTTAAAGGGAAACTATTTGACTTAGTAAGACCCCCACGAAAATGTTATTAGCAGAAATGAAAGGACCAGATATTAGAAGCCTGCTCCCATTCTCTAAGAAGCATTTAAAAGAGAATCCTACTATCTAAAATCTATTATCTTTGCAATGCTAACGTGTTGCATCCGTTGTGATTTCCCCAGGGAAGCCTATGGAAAACTACTTGAAGTCACATCCTATTATCTCAGTTGAGCTACATTAGATTGAATGGTGCCAATCCTCTGGTTCAGTAACTTCTGCTCCAGCAGCTTAAGCTGAACTCAAGTATTTTGCAAGTATGGCGGTGTTATTCTGCTCTGCCACACTTACCCCAACACTCCCTTTGTGATTTATTCTATTTATTAAAAAGATAGAGAGAGCCCACTCAGCATCTATATAAATACCAGGGCAGGGTATATAACATAAATGATAAAATGCATAATAAAACAATAAAGTATTGTACACCTGTCTTTATTTCTTTTTTTAAAATGGAAGCTAAAACGACTGAACAGGCTAATCAACCATCGCTGGGACTTTTAACTATTGACAGTGGACCCGGCTTATGACGAAAGTGTATTGCACAATATGACATAATGAGTTTCCCACAGTAGTGGAGCACAGAGATGAGCCTCCTTAGATTTCAAAGATTTGGGAATTATCCTTATCCTCGCACGCCTATTTTTTATTTACCCAAAATCCACAAGGACATACGTTCTCCCCTAGGTAGACCTATAGTATCGGGCTCCGGGTCTATTCTGGAACCCATTGCGGAATATTTAGATTCATTTTTGCAACCTTTTGCGAAGGACTCACCTGCAAGACGCATCTCACTTCACCAGGGTTATAGAGCACACCAGAGTTACTGATACTATGGTATTAGCTTCTTTAGATGTAGCCTCTCTTTACATGAACATTCCTTTAGATGAGGCACGGTTCATTATTACACAGCCTAAGCACTCTTCCTTCTTAGCTCACTTTTCCAAACCACACATTCTTGATGAATATTGTATTATTTCGATCGATACAATGCTAAGGCTGAAGCAGACCATTTTTGTAGTTTCTGAAGTGCTTAGGTCCATCTACAAAGTTAAATTTAGAAGTGGTCCCTAGTTGTTTTCCAAACCACAATTCCATTACAAGTAAATAATATGTGTGGGGATCTTTGACGTGATCTTTTAGCTCTTTGTGGAAATATTGACTGTGGTGGTTTTTTAAAACAAAAACCCCAGCGTTCACTACTTTTAGTTCAGTGAAACACCTTTAAAAATAAGAGTACTAGGAACCCCAAAAAAATCAATAACTGTGCATTTTTCCTACCTTGCCTGAATGTTCTGTGTATCAGTTTGAAACAAGTATTTTACTGTGTTGCCACCATCACAAAGCTGAGAGGTAGTTAGCAATAAAGCTCAGTCATTTTAGATATATATAAAATTGTGAGCTGAGCTGATATTTATTAGAACAGAGAGTTCAGTATGTGATTAAAATGACACTGTATTGTAAAAATATGGAACAGGTACAGTTATATATTTCATACAGATAGATTTACTGTTTAAAAAATGAAGATGGTGTTGACTTTTGTGCCGCAGGGGGTTTAAATCAATACCTTCCCTAGGAAGATGATAATTTGGCTGTATGGCCGTACTGAAATTGAATTTAACTCTTTCTTTCTACCTTTAAAATAATTCTAGATAGCAAATGAAGCCAAGGGATTGGAAGGAGGTTTCAAGCAAGCACAAGATTTAGAAGGAAAGCCTATCTTCTGTGAATGTGAAAAAGGCTGTGGTGTAACTGGTTTGTTGCTAATATTCTACTTACTATATTTATTCATTGCAATTTTTTTTAAACAAAATATTTTTTATATTTTTATTTTGCTTTAAACAAATACAGATAAATATAAACAACCAAAATTACAAAAGAAAAATCCTTAATAATAATAATGGAAAAAGCTAAAAAAAACTACAAAAAATATCAAAGTACATGGCATAAAACATAGGTTAGGTAGCCCAAATGGGAAGTCAAGCACAATCTGAGAAAATGAGGCTGCAGATTTCCTTGCCTACAGATCTCTAGGTCACTTGATTGAAATACGCAGCAGGCTACTGGAATGATAAGATCTTTTATACAAGTCCTCAGTAATGGTGAAAAGCAGATACCATTTTGCAGGGACACATACACTGGAAAAGGGCATGATGGATGGAGTTGGTAAAGTGATGGATGGTCATTGTCTAGACTCTAAGACGTGCCTCTGCACACACACCACTTTGAAAAAATTTGATTTTCAAATCACTTCACATCATAGACAAACATATACACTACACACACACACACACACACACATTTTATCTATATCTATATCATCTATAAAACATCTTCTGCAGTAATGTTTTCTCATTTCTCTTCCTAGCCAGGAAGCAAGTGGCAATATAGTTGGAACCCTGTCAAATGCCGTTTACATGTACAATTATGATTTTTCTCGAGCCATAATTAATTTTTGTCATCTGCTTTAATAGCTTGGAGCAAACCAGACATTAGAAGATGCTGAGTCAGCTTCGTTTGCACTTCCTTCATTTCCCACTTTTGCAACCTCTGCATATGTTGTGGAACAGAAAAATCAACTCAATTTGGATAGAGGCAAAAAGATGAGAAAGGATGTGGGCTTTTACTACCTTTCAAATGGATGCTCACAGCTGCTTTTAAGCACATCTTCCCTGCCAAATGAGTTCCATGCACACATTCAATTTGCTGCAGGGGTATAAATAAAAGAACAAAGGCCTCAATTAAGCAAGGCATTGCACAATTATATAATAATATCTCACGGAGACAGGCATGGTGGAGAGTCTGCATTTTAGGGCAAAACAACCTAATCTGCAATTCCTGGATTTGTATGTGGAACGCAGCATAGTTATCAACAGGACTGTGTACTTCCCCAAATTTTGTTCAGTTTTTCTCCAAGGAAATCCATACAAAACTCTCTCTCTTTTTTTTTTGAAGGGAGCAATATGTACACAAATCCGTATTTTTAGGGGAGAATATGAGGAAATCGTATATTTTAATGAGAAATGCCTTTAGTGAGAAATTGTGAACAATTTACTGGGTAAATGCAATTTTTTGTATGGTACCCTCCCCCCCCCACTCCATAGAAAATGGAACATAATGGGTGGTATGCCACACTAGTCCTACTCAGAGTAGATTCACTGAAGGTACTGGACATGCCTAACTTAGGTTCATTCATTTCAATGGGTGAACTCTGAATAGGTCTTAGCTGAATACAACCTACTGTCCTGGTTCCCACATTCAAAACATGACAATGTTCTTATTGCCATGCGGGTAAGGACAAGACCTTTATTAAGGAAGAAAGAGCACAGGATCAGCATCAGGGAAACAGCTACAGTATTACACTCCCAGATCCCAGTCTAGGGGTGAGGCTAAGGTCCACAAGTTCTGGGTCCAAGCACAAGAAGTTCAATTAGTCACAAGAGTGGAAAAGTTGTTCCACGAGGTGGGGCTGTTTCTTTTGTGTATATAATTTTTATTAAATTTTCTGTTTTACCATTTAAAATACTCATTTCACATTCTTAAGATATCAATGACTTCCATTCTTCTCCTTCCATGGTTCATTTTGCATATCATAAATCCCTGCATATGTTACAGAAACTATACCATTAAGTATTCCATTATTGCTTCCATCAAAACTTGTTTACACTGTTGAATTCAACTTAATGCTGCGTTTTCAGCTGTACACAATTATATTCAATAAAGGTTTTCCAATCTCCTTTAAATGTATGTTCTTCTTGTTCTCTTATTCTGCATCTTAAGTCTGCGAGTTGTGCATATTCTGTCAACTTTAGTTGCCATTCTTCTTTAGTTGTTCCACGAGGTTGACGCTCACCCATCAAGTTTTCGCAAGTGTTTCTGTCCCCAAGTATGCGGCAGGTCTGCAAATGGGCACTGTGTCTGAGTCACTGAGTGGGTGTGTCTCTTCCCTTCTCTAAAATGGTGCCTGATTCTGAGAGAAAGCTTTGGACCTGCTCAACCCCCTATCCCAAATCCTGCTTAGCTATTCCAGGCTCCTGTTCAGAGCCCTCTTTAGATTCCAGCAATTCTCTCTTCCCCTTAGGAAGGGAGAGAACTGGAGGTCGTATCGCCATACTAAAACTGGATGGGATCAGATGGAGGGAATGAATGACTTCCATCTCTTCAAACCTCTTCCTCTCTATCTTATTCCTCCTCCAGAGCCTTCCATCCTAGGGCCGAACCCACAAACTCTAAGAGAGTCATGACACCCAACAGATGTATGAGTGAACACGTGAAAAATGACACAGAATGGAAATAGGCAGATCCATCTATTGTTTTATTCAGAAAGTATGGTTTCTTTTCCAGAACAACTTTTCTATCACACCAGGGAGAGGTGTTTATTTGAAAGCTAAGATGAAGAGGAAAGTAACAGAGTGGATTAGCAACCTTATGGCATACAATATGAGAGGGAGATGTCCTAATATCCCTTCCCTGCAGGAACAGGGTATTCAGGGAGCACCTTTGCCTTAGGTAACCATAAATACCTTTGTGACATCATAAGCTTTACCTCAGACCTCATTTTTGCAGACTGACCTCATTCTTGCAGACTGATATGCACACCTAGTAAGCAACAGACTACAAACAGCATGTTTAATAGGCCTCTCAGCAAAAGCTTTTAAAAATGCACGCAGGCACTTCATACATATTCCCAATTGTTGGACATTTTGCTAGCATTTTCACATTGATTTCCTCACAGTAGGGCAATGACTGAAAGTGTAGTAAGATGCATACTGAGAAAGAATGGCTAGCTATAAATGATAATTTGATCTTTTTCTTCCCAGATGTACTTTCATATTGTTGTGGGTTTGTGTGTGGGGGGGGGGGTGTGTCAGTCTAGAATGTCCTGATTCTCTTCCAGTTCTTGGAATTCTGTACCCAGTGAGAGCATCCAACAGAGAAGTTTGAAGAACTGGTCAGACAAGTTTTTTATAAGACCTTAGCTGGCCACTTAAAGAATGAGCTAGGTTGCAACTAAGTGATGGTGCCCTCCAGGCTAATGGGTGGGTCTTGCCTCACCTAGCTGCTAGGTAGGAGAACAATAGCTGGAGTGTGAGAGAGAGAGCTGAACTGAAGCAGGCTGAAAGCTGGAGACATGCTTGATCTGTGCTGGATCCAAATCTGTGATTAATAGAGAAACAAGATATGTTGGGGAGTTAATACTGCGAACATCTCCATCTTATGCAGGGATCAGCAAACTTTTTCAGCAGCGGAGGCTGGTCCCCTTCCCTCAGACCTTACGGGGGGGCCCAGACTATATTTTTTTTTTGGGGGGGGGGGAAATGATGCAAGAGCACCACGAGCCCCTGTGGCTGCTTACCTGTGTCTTGTGAGCAGCAGGGGCTGGCGGTGGCAGAGGGACGATGAGCAGCACACAAAAGGGCTCCAGAGAGGGGCCGCTTAAAATGGCGGCCGCTTGAGCGCTGCTGCTGCTGGCACCAACAAAGCCCAGCCCCCTTCTGCCTCTAGGCAGGGCGGAGAGAAGCCAGGAGGAGGGAGGGAGGAGGGAAAGAATGTGTGCACTGGTGATCCACGTGGCGATCCCCGAACCGTCTGCGGGCTGGATCCAGAAGGCAATTGGGCCTGATCTGGCCCGCAGACCTTAGTTTGCCTACCCATGATCTTATGCTTAGCTTGTACATATGTGTCAATAAAACCATATCACCTGCAGGCATCACAGTCTCTGCCGACCCTCATTCCAAGACAACCAAACCCCAGGTAAGCATTGGAACCCCTAAAAATCTCTCACCACTTGGAGATTGGGGCTGGCATGGAGCAATGTTTTTCATTCTAACTGTCTATCCTAAGATGGATTTTATAGCTAAGCCTGCCGGTGGAATGTCTAATGTGCTGGAATTGCAATACAAAGACAGTCTGTCTGTAGCAGTTGCCCCTGGCAATCTGGCAAGCCGAATTGTAGATTCTAGCAGGCTATGGAGACCTTTGTCTTCTCTGGTCCACCGGACTGGGGCTTGCATACCCTCCTGGTACCACCATACCAAATAGTTCTGTCACCAGAGTTTCAGTTTCACCACCCCTTTCACCAGCTTGATTTATACCAGGTTAGCAGGTCATATGGTCTAGCTCAGGGGTCAGCAACCTGCGGCTCCGGAGCCACATGTGGCTCTTTTACACCTTTGCTGCGGCTCCGGGGCGGATACTAGCAAGGGGAGGTGGCGCATTGTGCGCCCCGACACTCCCCACTGTGGCGGGCGCTGTACTGGCTGTGACGTCGCATGGGGGCGGTGCGTGCGTTAGTCACGCACCGTCCCGACGTCACCTTCCCGCCCGCCTGCTACATTATAAGGGGCATGTACGCTGGTCACTGCATTGGAAGGGGGCATGTACGCTGGTCACTGTTTTGAAGGGGAGTGAAGAACACACACACAAAAAAAGGTAACTTGTTAATTTAATGTTTATTTCTATGAGGAGGAGTAATTCTGAGGGGTCAAACAAAGAAATAATAAAAAGTGACAAAAAAGTTATTTTTATAATGACAAGTTTTGTGGCTCCCAGTTTTTTTTCCTTCAGAAATGGGTCCAAGTGGCTCTTTTTGTCTTAAAGGTTGCAGACCCCTGGTCTAGCTGAACAAACTTAGGATCCCATCTAAGTCCCCCTTCAGGTTCCTCACCAGCCCTAAGGAACACCTGCTTTCCAGGGCTTATGCTAGTTTAAAATCTGCCCAGATCAGTTTTGCTGGCTGAGCCCTGGCTGAGCTGAATGAAGAACTCAGGTTTAACATAACTTCAGCTAAACCAGGGTTTGGGATTTATATAACCTATCTGAGCCATAACCCTCCCTTGCTCAGTTGGAGATTCACTGGATCCTAGCTTGCTCATCCCAGCAGATCAAGCCTTAAGATTGCACCCTAGGTGGTTTAACGGGGCAACAAAAAGAAAAAATGTACATTGCAATCCATTCCCCACTTTCCTGAGAGTAAGACCCATTGGACTCAATAGTACTCATTTCTGAGTAGACAGTGATTAGGAATTCATTGTTAGCGAAACATGCCTGGGATAAATACAATCACCAATCCTCGGTTTGTTAGATTTCTTAATGGATGGATTTAATTGCTGTGCTGGTTGACAAGACTGTAGCAAACTGCATGCAAAAAAATCAGCTAACCTCTCTTGCTTTCTAATATACTGTAATAGGATAACTGCCTGCCTCCCAGCAGGGTCTGGGAAGAAGAACCTGCTGGAAATATCCTAAAATGGCTACCCAGATTGTAATAGTTGCAGCCCTCTGGGCCCAAACTGCATTTTATATTCTATAATCCCAGTTCCTGTGCGTTCATACATGGCTAATTTTTTTTCCTGGGGTGCGGAAGAACATCCCTAAAAGCATATTACAACAAGAAGATAAGCCGTGCTGCATTTAATAACTTTATGTGGTCTGATGATGATGGTTAATCACATTTGGCTCCAGTTGTGCAGAATGTATTTTAGTGCGTTTGCCTAGGCTGAAGCCTTCCTTTGGATATCGTTTAGTTAGCTAGTCGCATTTCCCTGTTATCCGTTTGATATTGTCACATGATTTGAGGGTGTTTCTCCCCCTCCCACCATGAACCATGTAAGAGTTAAAGCTTTCCCTTTCCATTTCAGGCCTGGCTCAAAGTGTTTTGCCTTCAGAAATAAGGCATTTTTGAGGGATATTTGTTCCTGCCATGCCAGCATGGGCATAACCAGAATTTATTTTAGGGGGGCTTTACTGAAATGCAGATAGGCTAGGCACATATTTTAACTGACAGCTTCGATGTCAGCAGTGCCCAGGTTCTATCGCTAGTAATCTGTTTGGGGTGATTTGAACACTTTGCATATTCATTTCTCCTTTTAAATAAGCAGCTCAGTTTTAAAGGAAGTTGTTCTGAATGTGCTCTGAGGGGCATCACCAACCGGCAGGCATGTACCTTAACAACTGTCATTGTCCAGTGTACTAATATATTGCAGGCAATATTTTCGCTAGCCTGCATTTACTGGAGTTAGAAAATCTGCTTGGATCAAATGAATCATTGTGAACTAACAAGGGCAAGAAGTGAGTCACCTATCAAATTAATTTTATCTGTCTGCACTCAGCTCCAGGGTACGTGACTACACTGCACAAAATACTCTGGTTGGCCTTTCTACTTAGATGGAAGAAAACCCAATTTCATACTTGGTTCTCGTCTCTAGTGAAGTATCCAGCTTGTTGCAAATAAGAGCTCTCATGGGAGCGGGCTATAATCAACTTTAAAAGCAGAGAGACCCGTTTTCACAGAATTGGGGACAGAGTTCTTATATATGAAGCTACTGTACACTTGAAGGCAATCAGTAGTATACTGTAGTATACTCAGGGGTAGGGGGAATGATTAAGATGGTTCACCCCAGGAAGCTGATGGATATGGATGGTTTCCTGATGGCTCTTCAGGGGTTTCCTGTTACCTTAGCAGGCAATTCTGTCAAAGCCCTGGTGGACCTCTGGAATGGAGAAATGACCAGAATGGTGGACATGGTCGTTCCTGAGTATACCCTCTCAGAGAGTGGAGACAGCCCAGCCCCCTGTTTCTCGAAGGACTTGGTGATTATGAAACTCATGTTGGCAGAAAACTTGGAATGAATCCAACCGAGTACAAGCTACAGGTTATTTGAAGTCCAGTGTGGTGTAGTGGTTAAGAGTGGTAGACTCATAATCTGGTGAACCGGCTTTGCGTCTCCACTCCTCCACATGCAGCTGCTGGGTGACCTTGGGCTAGTCACACTTCTTTGAAGTCTCTCAGCCCCACTCACCTCACAGAGGCTTTGTTGTGGGGGAGGAAGGGAAAGGAGATTGTTAGCCACTTTGAGACTCCTTCGGGTAGTGATAAAGCGGGATATCAAATCCAAACTCCTCCTCCTCCTCTTCTTCTTCTTTTGCAGCAATGCAGGCAGTGAAATGTCTCCCCCCCCCCACCTGCATTGTGTTATCAAGGAGCCATCTAGCATGACTGTTTTGAGTGGTCCAGGGTCTTTTACACTTTGGTCCACGTGAGGAGCAGTTAGACCACTTGCTGTGAACAATTTGCTCAGCACTTTGCTGACAAAATCAGCTCCATTCTGACTTGGATGTTATAGTTTACAGGTCTGGTGCAGGTAATTTGGCACCTTAGTTGTCCAGTGTTAATGGATACTTTTCAACTTGTACAACCCAAGGATGTGAATGGGATCCTTGGAAACAGGGCTGGTCCAAGACATTTTGGCACCTGAGGCGAACCACAAAATGAAGCCCTGCTCCCCACAAGGGAAGAAGGGGTGGGTGGAGAACTACATCAGGAACAAGGGGGAAATGAAGATCTACATCAGGCTCTGCTGCCCCTGTGGATCCTGCCACTGAAGGCAGTCACCTTACCTTGCCTCATGGGTGGGCCGGCACTGCTTGGAAATGTGAGAGCTAGATCCTTGGCTTTCCTGGCTCATCAAAAAAATCCAGCAGTTGATTGGTTGAGTAGGTGAAGGGAGTGGTCATTGCCTCCTTGCAATAAGCAGAGTTTCAGCAGGCCTAAAGGACACAGTTATAAGATCCTTCTAGAATCCCACCATATTGGATAATTATTAACCAGTTTCCAATATCCCAATCTGAGGCAAGCTACCAAGTTATCAGAGACGCGGGTGGCGCTGTGGTCTAAACCACTGAGCCTAGGGCTTGCCGATCAGAAGGTCGGCGGTTCGAATCCCCGCGATGGAGTGAGCTCCCGTTGTTCGGTCCCAGCTCCTGCCCACCTAGGGGTTTGAAAGCACGTCAAGTGCAAGTAGATAAATAGGTACCACTCTGGCGGGAAGGTAAACGGCATTTCTGTGTGCTGCTCTGGTTTCACCAGAAGCGGCTTAGTCATGCTGGCCACATGACCTAGAAGCTGTTTGCGGACAAATGCCGGCTCCCTCGGCCTATAGAGCGAGATGAGCGCCACAACCCCAGAGTCGTCCGTGACTGGACCTAATGGTCAGGGGTATCTTTACCTTTACCAAGTTAGCTCTTGAATTGTCGGAAAGGAGCCACAGTAATATGCAGGACACATCCTCTGCGTGCAGTAGACCCTGGTTCAATCCCAGGCATTTCTATTTCAAAGTAGCAGCTGATGGGAAATACATCTGTTAGCTTGTGAAGTGTCATAGCTCAGAGGAGGAAGAAGAGGAGGCGGCAGCAGCAGCAGCAGGGTGCTCAGGCCCCAGCCTTCATCCCTCCTGCCACCCTCAGCCACTGACTCTGTCCCACTGGGCCCAGCATCACCCTCACTCCGCTGGTACCTAGACCAGGTCTACAGCCAAGGCCGAGCTCAATAACAAGTACCTGCCTGGACTCATGGCTGAGGAGGACAGCCTGGACCCTTCACTTCCCCATGTCATGCAACTGCTGCAAGCTAATAAATGTCCCTTCCGCATAAGGGAAGGTAGGGGAGAGCGGCTGTTATCATACCTTCAAGTGAGCTGAGACTTGTTTCATTGATGTTGTTAAGGCTACCTTCTGGGCACTGTAGTAGCTGCTCAGCTCATTTGAGCAGGGAAGATGAAACCTAGGTGGATATCCCTGGTTTAGTCCCCTTTCCTGTATTCTTAAAATAATGAAAAAAGAATCAATAACAAACTATGATTTCCAGGATTCTTGGGGGACGTAATTTTCTGATTCACCTCAGGCGCCAAAACATCTTGAACCGGTCCTGATATAAATGCATTTATTAGTGAAATAACATACAACGCCACATTAAATGAGAGAAAATTGCTTTGCAAAAGTGTATATTAGACAAACTGGCATATAAAATGTGTATATTAGGAGAAATTTGCACTGACGTGGTGCAAAAGAAATCATAAACCAAATGTGGAGAATCAAACCTGGAAAAATGGGAAACTGAAAGCCCGAAATTGACATCCTCACCCATCCCAACACGAAGCTTAAGATTCAGTAACAGGAAGCTAAAACAGCAACTGCTTCCCTGTGGTTCCTCACTTCTCATTCTCCTGCTGGCAAGACTTCAGGAGCTCTCTACACATGGCCGGTTGCTGCACTGAACTGTCCCTGACAAATTGATGAAAGAAAAATTGCGGGTTGAAGTTGGCTTCATTTCGCACGAGGACCACAATTCAATTACTTGGACCATACTACTGTGAGGTAGAGGGTTATACACAGAGGAAGAGAAAGCTACTAAAATCCAAACAAAAAGTGGGAAGGAATTGAATATTGTGTGACTGGAGGGCGTAGGGAATATAACACATAGTAAGGAGGTTTCCACCCCACCCACAACCACCATTTACTTCTGCCAGGGTCACCTGTCACTATTGGGCAGAATGAGGTGATATTGACTGTTGTGGAGGGCAGTAAATTGCTATTTAATTTGTCATTATTGTTATTTTTCTGCCAGAGAGGGGGAAAGGTAAGGTGCTTTGAGAGTTTTCTGCCTCAGGCCACAAAATATCTTGGTTGTGCATACTTGGATACAACATACTTTGATGTGGGGCAACATTTGCAGTAACTCTGCCTCAGGCACCAAAATATTTGGGATGGCCCTACCTCCTGTGGTTACTTATATTCTGAGGTGTGGGTGCTTAAGGGGAATTGTTGAATTATTTGGGTGAGGGTGCCAGGTTTATTCCCAGCATGTCTTTAAAAAAAAATGGGTGGAGGGAGTCCCAAACTAGGAGCAATAAAACAGCTCAGGAAACAAATGCATGGAAGCTGATTTAGTTTGTTATTAGGGACATTTATAAAAATGTCACTTAGGAAGCACCTGAAGATGGCATTTGTAGGTGGTGAAAGGGTCAAATTCATGTTACAGTATATTCATATTACAACAGTATATTGTCAGTTGATAATATTTCTCTATGTACTTTGACAAGAAGTTAAGTGAAGGCAAATCAGCTTTCTCCCCTCTGCAGCAAGAATTCTGCATACTACATTTCTAGATCAGAGCTGCAGCTATGGTAGCAGTTAGGGGACCGCTGCTCCCATTCCTGCATATACCCTCTTTGTAGTAATCTGTTTCTTCACAAATATACAGGTTAAGTAGAGGCACATTGCATAGGGAGGAAGACTGTGCTAAAAGCTAGCTCAGTTCTTTACTTGGAAATTAGCAGCCAGCTGCTTCCATGCTTCATGTTGAAAGACACCTGAGGGGTATGTGTTTGTGTGTGTTTGCATGTGTGTATAACTCTAAGTGTGAAGGGGTGTGTGAGACAGATACAGACAGAAAAGCAATGAGAGAAGGGAGCAGAGCAAAATAGGAAGAGTAAATAGATTTTTCCTGATACAGACTGTGTACACAGTCCTGTTTACTCTGCATCAAGTGTGCTCCCGATGCTGGTTTGGGAGGTGGTGAGCACACAACGTTAACCACAGTCCATATCTGTCCCGTCTCTATCCAGATTTCTTATGAAACAACACATTTTGATGCATCTGCCTTTCCCTGCAAAAGCATATGCAATCTGAATCAAGAAAAAGAATGACCTGGCTGTGTTTTAAGATGGTAATGTGTACACAGCCACTGATTGCCCCAATCCTGTAATTTCCAACCATTTATTTTTATTCCACTTTCCTACAAGACTGTGCCCAAAGCAGCTCACAAGCTATCACCAGTGTTGGTGTAATTTAAACAGTGGGTTAACTTTCACCATGCTTGGTCTCATGTCTTGAGGAACACACACCCCATTCTCCAGATGTTCAGAGATAAGAGAGAAGGTGCACAGGGGTACCTGCGTATTATTTGCTGAGTCATTCACCCTCCCATTGGTTAATGAAATATGCCTAGGTTTAGAGATGAGTATAACTGTCTCTAGGGCATTGCTTTCATTAAGTTGTCCTGATGGTCGTATCTTGATGTCCTGTCCTGCTGCATGTCCTGCTTGCTGTCAGTGTCTGGTTCATAATCTGTGAAAGTCAAGGGAAGAGGTTGTGGGTTTTACACAGCAGTGTTAGTTAGCATGGTGATAGTGTTAGTGGATCTGTAGCAGGAGTGCCAGCTTGGCCCCACAACCATGGGTGCCAAATTTTGGAGCCGGGGCCCCCGGAAGCCATGGTTGTGGGGCCCTGGCTCTGAAATTTGTGGGTACCCAGTCCCTTCATGAGGAATTTTGTGGGTGCTCGGGCACCCAGGGCCCCAGGGAGTTGGCACATATGGTGCCAAACATGCAGAAACACAATTTCTAGGGCAGTACAGTGGTGCCTCGCAAGACGAAATTAATCCGTTCCGCGAGTCTCTTCGTCTTGCGGTTTTTTCATCTTGCGAAGCATGGCTATTAGCGGCTTAGCGGCTATTAACGGCTTAGCGGCTTTAAGAAAAAGGAAACAAACTCGCAAGAACTCGCAAGACGCTTCGTCTTGCGAAGCAAGCCCATAGGGAAATTCGTCTTGCGGAACGACTCAAAAAACGGAAAACTCTTTCGTCTTGCGCGTTTTTCGTCTTGCGAGGCATTCGTCTTGCGAGGTACCACTGTACAGTTAAAGACCGGGATAAAAAAATCTACATGCAAAAGGCTTGTTGGTAGAGGAAGGTCATCAATAGACATCAAAAAGACAACAATAAAATGCTGATCAATCTATACAACTTTCTTTAAAACAATAAAAATAAACTGACCTAATCCACTAATTTAAAACTGCTTAATTCTACCACTAAAATTGTTGAAAGGCCTCGCAGTTCATTCATCTCACCACGCCTAAGGCAAACAATGATGAACTACTATTATCATTATTATTGTTAGCAGTCTTGTTGTGTTTATTACCCACTTTCCAGGGCAGGTTGCAAAAAAATTAAATACAACATTAGCAACAATTTAAAACAGCAGACAATCACACAAAAATTGTAATGAGACTCCCTGTCATAATTCCCCAGCCTTCACTTAATCCTTCAAGAGAATGGATTTTATTTGGAACCCAAGATGGGAAGCATGGATTTTTAAACACAGCATGTATCCTTTGGATCTAGAGTTCCCTATATGCAGCCACATGTTTTTTCCCCATTTGACTGATAGAGGCCTGATCGTATTGACATCACAATACGATGTAACAACGCTGCTTTGCGGCTCCTCGCATCTCTCTGTGGCTTCATTGCAATTTCAGCCTCTCCTGAGAGCTGCCAGGGGAACATACATTCATCAGTAAAGCATCTGGTGCAGAACATTAAGCAGCCTGCAGTCCACTTGTTTACAATAACAGTATCAGCTGTTCGCAATACTACACGTCAATCTATGTAGTGATACAGTGAAATATAGATAATATGACCTGGAGAGGCAGAGCTGCCTGTTACCTGTCAAATCTTCAGCATTTGCGTAAAACGGCGTAGATGGTTCACTTAATGCTTTGCCTGGATTCTGTCATATATTGACTTAACAGTCACAAACACAAGCCCCAAGCAGATTTCCAAAGGCAAATCTTAACAATAGGCCATGACGTCCATAGCCCAGGTCATCACTAACAAAACAAATTAAGCAGAATTGCTTATTTAAAATCAATCAGAGCGTCTTCCTTCCAGCATAATACTTTCACTCTACTATAGTAGAGTAATAGTACAAACCTGGGCAGGTTTACTTAAGATGTAAGCCCCACTGAGATCAATGAGACTTAGGCTGCATACATGCCATACACTGAAAGCACACGACTCCCTCCCCTTCAAAGAATTCTGCCAAATGTAGTTTGTTAAGGGTATTAAGAACTGTAGCTCTGTGAGAGATAAACTACACTTCCCAGGATTCTTTGGGGGGAGTAATGGGGGGAATGGGTTAAAAATGTAGTAGCAATAATAATTTGCACTATCACAATAATGTTGACTTTTTAAAAAAGATTGGGCTGCCTAAGTTTTGTTTCATAAACATAAAACAAAACAGTACGGTCATACCTTGGATCCCAAATGCCTTGGTACTCAGACATTTTGGCTCCTAAATGCCGCAAACCCAGAAGTGAGTTGTCTGGTTTGTGAACGTTTTTTGGAACCTGAATGTCCAACGGGGCTTTCGTGGCTTCCAAGTGGCTGCAGGAGCTTCCTGCAGCCAATTGGAAGCCGTGCTTTGGCTTCCAAACATTTTGGAAGTTGAATGGACTTCTGGAACAGATTCCATTCGACTTCCAAGGCACAACTGTGCTTCATTGTTCTTTCTGTGGTTCAAATATGAGCCTAATGGATTCACTGTGGTTGCATACATGCTAACCTATCTGTAGCACAAAAATGTGTTTTTTCTCAATATGGAATCATTTATGCTTGTCCTCAATATGCTGCTTTCAATACAGATTGATTCTGAATCCTGCCATCCACAAAGGTATATAGTTACTTTATACCTCTTTGAAAACCCTTCCCCTGATTAGGTTGTCCACACCTTTCCCTTCTTGCAGATGCTCCAGGTTAATGGAGGAGAACATGGTGGTTTCAGTCTTGGTATACATCCACCCACAACATCATTTGGCAGGTGTGGGGACACGGACACAAACACAATTGCTGGTACTGCCTACATCTGTTTTGAAATGGACACACTGTGGGAGAAATGCAGAATCAAACTGCAATGAGTTTTTCTTTTTGGAATGGAATCAGTTTCTCAAGGAGTAGAATTCAGAGGCCAAAAATCTGCAAGAAATCTAGATTGTACGTGGACTACACGGGGGGTGGGGACCCAAGTACTCAGTCTCTGTGGTTTCTAGAATAAAAATAAGAATGTCTGTACCACGAGAGTGTAAGAAACATTTGAATCCCAGTGGGTGGGAAGCTTTTATCAGTTAAAACAAGGTGCTTTAAATTGCAACTGTGATTTCAAACTGGGATGACACAGACCTTCAAAGCTCGTCATGAAGAGGTCTATTTAGTGTTGCTCAAAGTAATAAATATCACAGCGGAGGCCCTCGCTGAAATGTAATTTTGGAGTGAGAAAGAGGATTTTAGGTCAGCATGGATGCTGACAGCAATTCTCACGCACGTTCCTTTCTCTGAGCTCTTTCTATGGACCCACCCTTGGTTTTGCTATTTTCTTCTAAGCCAAGGTGAAGGTGAACGATTGTCTGCTGAATAGCAAAAATAGCACATTTGCACATTGTTGGGAAGAAAAGTACAAAGATCTCTCACAAACCAAACAGAAAGAAAACCACTTCATTTTTGTATATGTTTGCCTGTTGTGGTAGCAAGCACTGAAAGCCCTCACTGAATTAGAAAGAACAATATTAAATACCAGCCAGTAAAGCAAAAGGGGTGTAGCATGAGGGATGCCAGTGGGGCCATGCCTCTAGGCATGGTTTTTTGAGGGGGTGCAAAGCAGGCACCCCCGGCAGATGCCCCCAGTGCAGCCTGGCCTAGCACTCCTCTCCCAGAGTTGGAGGAATCAACACTTGCGGAGAGAAGCATTGGGCTGCGCTGGGCTGGGGGCACCAACATACAGTGGCGTAGCAAGGTCAGGTGGTACCCGGTGAAGAATTTTTTTGTCACGCACCCCACATTGAAATTCCCCCTTCCTCCCTCTACCCCCATCAAAGAAAGCCGCACAGGCAGCTATCTGATGTAGATCCTGCCTTTCCCCCCTCCCTCCCTCCACACCCTGTCAAAGAAAGCCATGCCCTGCCCTCCTCCAGCACCCCGGGAGCATGGGGGGCAATGGCGCGCCACCCACCCATGACTCCCAAGCCTCCCCTGAGCTGTCAAAAGGAAGGGGAAAGGGTGGAAAGCCGCCGGCAAAGCAGCACAGCTAGCCACCTTCCTCTGACGGCTCAGGGTAGGCTTGGGAGTCGCAGGCGGGCAGCGCGCCGAATGTCACCCCCTCAGTGTGTATGTGTGTGCGGCTGTGCTTGAAGCAACTCAACCACGAGGCAACTCAACCCTGCTCAGTTCCACAGGCAGCGTTGAGTTGCATTTTGTAAAAAAAACACTCATTGATGGCACCCGGGGAAGTCTGCCCCCACCGCACCCCCTTCCTCCGCCAGTGCCAGCATGGTGACACCAGGTTTGCGCCCACCAAGTGTTGGCTGGCCAGGCTGAACCCTGTGCAGGCAGGCAGGCGGCACAGCACAGCCCTACTTGGCTTCAGTGTGGGGCAGGGTCGCTCCACCGGGGTCAGTGGCAAGGGCTGGGGTGTCATGACTGGATCCTTCACCCTTTGCACTCCGTGCCCCGCCCCCAGTGTGTGCATACCCCCTGGCACACGTGCATGCCTGCCCCAGGCTCCAGGAGCTCACACTAAGGCTGAACTAGCATGTGGGTTTTCCCCCCAGAGAAAACTGTGCCCAGATTTTGCAATTCCCTTCCAAGGACGCCCCCCCCCTTGCCATATTGCAATTGCCTGCAGCCTAACTATTGCAGATGCAAACAGTGTTGCAACTGGGGTCGAATGTAACTTCTCCAATACTACCATGAACCGAAATCATCATAGATGTACAATAAAATGATGTTTGATGGGCACACCTACCTACGAGTCAACTCTGTTGAACATGGTGGGGACATGTCTCTGAGTGTATGTGCATAGAATGGTGCTGCTAATATGTGGTTTGCTAATGTTTTACTTAGTGGTTTAATCAGCCCTGATTAAAGTCCAACCACACCTGGAGGGCTACAGTTCCCCAAGCCTGCTTTTCTGATGTAAATGCTATGGTAAAAAGAATAGCCAATACAGTGCTATCCAGATCTTTTTGGGCTCCAAATCCAGCCAGGATGGTCAGGGATGGTGGGTGTCGTCATCCAATGACATCTGGAGGGGTCCACCTTGGCATAATTCTTCCTTGCCTTTTTTTAACTTACCAGAGAAACAAGCAAGGCTCAGCTCTTCATTTCAAGCAGTTCTGTTCCTTTAGCTGTCCTTTGTTTATGCGGTGCTAACACTGCAGAGCTCAGTATGACTCAGCGGCAATGTAACCAGTGAGTCATAACTGTGGTCTGCTTTCTTGATTGAGTCTGAACAACCCACCTATTCCCCTTGCCTGGCCTATTTTCTGCAAGGCCTTAAGGGAGGAGGGTTGAGTCCTCAATATTTCCATACTGATGAACATCCTAGTCACAGAACTCTTGCATCCTGGCAGCTTCTTTATTTCCATTTATATTGCTGACCAGAGAAGCTTTAACCCTTAAAGTCACCTTGATGTAAAAATCCAACCAAAAGTAGGCCCATTACATACTTAAGATCCTTTGAAATCAATGGGACAGTCCATTGACTCCCTGAGCAGCTCTCTGACCCAAATGAGTCACTACACCAGGCAAGGAACATGTCCTCCTTTGCACCTGCATTCTAACATCATCACATTTTGTGTTTCCAATCCATACTTTTGCCAGTGGCATCAAACAATGCATGGCAGGTGTGGGCAAATGAATGGTGTGAGCGTGTTATGATCAGCCAGGTATCATGTCTACTCTGAAGTGAGCTGTACTGAGCAGCACTGAGTTTCTTCTAAATAAGTGGGTATAGGATTGCCGCCTCTGTATTATGCGGGGAGGGCAGGGGAAACTCCATATGGGCTGCCATTTTCAACTGTAACCCAACTCCAGGCCAACCAGCCACTCAGTAGCTCAAACTTATTTGCTAAAAACTATTGGCCATTATGAAACTACAAAAGGAAAGGACTTGATCATCTTCACATCACACAATGGAAATAAAACGTATGGACAATGACTTTGTCTGAGACACTAATTAAGAGAATACATGCCCTGAATGACGCAACTGATGCAAATGATTTTGCTGAAAATTCCTCCGGGGAGAGAGCCATCTCCTGTTGATGGGTTTGCAATGGCATGTTAAGATTTCTTTATCCCACAGGATAGCTGGGGCTCTCTGGGCTGTTGTAATGGTGATGGGGTGTTCATTCCACTCTCCATCCTGACCACTGAGCCATTGTATCATAGGTTAGGGTTACCAGACTCCCCAGTTCCCGGGGACAGTCCCCGGATTTGCAAATCTGTCCCCGGACAAATTCTGTCCCCGGAATGTCCCCAGATTTGCAAATCTGTCCCCGGGAAACGTGGCAGCGTCAGCCTCAGCAGCCCAGAGGCAGCCTGGTAGCGCAGTTGGCTCTGGCTGGCTTCAGGAGCTGCTCGCCAGCCAGAGTCAACTGCGCTACCAGGCTGGCTCCAGGCTGCTGACTGCCACTGCCACAGCCACTGCCAAAGGGGAACAGGGGACGTCTGGCGGTACAGATCTCCTGCCCCCTTCCCCCTTTGTTTTGACTGATTGGGGGAAGCTTGGGAGTTGCGGGCGGGTGACCATTGCCCAGTTTTTTTAAAACTCTGAGCATTTATGTTTCACAGGGTGTGAAAGAAGGGCTTTGCATGTGTGCTTGGGCCCAGGGTCTTTTGCCTCACCATCCCCACTACTGACTCCCTGTTGCTACTCAGCTTAAAAACAAAACAAAAACGTGTCCCCGGATTCATTGAAAAAAATCTGGTAACCATATAATAGGTGCCAACTGCCTGGGGCCCCGGGTGCCCAAGCACCCACAAAATTCCTCATGAAGGGGCCGGGCACCCACAAATTTCAGTGCCAGGGCCCTGCATGGTGCATGACACCCATGGCCCCAGGCACCCACACCGTGGGGCCAAGCTGGCACTCCTGCATTGTTTCACTTTTGCTTTATTGATTGCGTTGATATTGTCTTTTAAGCACGCATCTAGTTTTTTAATGCTCTAAGCCATCTTGAAGTGCTTTGAAGAGAACTATTTTAGCGAAGGAATAAGTGAATGACATAACCTAATGTTTCTAGTCTCACTCAGAGATTGGGGAGGAATTTGATTCCGTTCAGTTTTAAAGGTAACCGTATAATGAGCACTTTCCAGAACAATATCCCAAGGGAAACACAACTATCTTTTGAAATCCACGCTTTCCTGAATTTTGCATTGCAGTTTACAGCCTATATGCAAAAATGCATATACTGAGGGAGTGTGTGCATAAAACTGCATAGCTTAGTAAAATAGCATGCAAAGATGCAGTATAATAGAAAACACTGGTTTGCAAAAATGTGTGTACTGTATTGGGCAAAATTGCATAGAAAAATGTGTGCGTTAGGAGAAATTTGCACTAAAATGGTAATAAGTTTTTATGAGGACTTAAAAAAGAAAAGAATCACAAACTCATATGGAAATGTAGAGAACTGAATTTAAGACTGGGAAAATGAGAAACTGGGATAAATCCCCATGGACAAATTTGCTTATCTCTGTTCTCAACTCATGGATACAAAACAGCAAGTACTGAAGGAAGATCCCCACTTACATACCCAGGGACATAGCCTTTTAAGGTTAAGATCAGCTCACATCCCTCTAATAACTGTGTACAACCAGAGACAATAGCTAAACAAACAAACAAATGAATAACCCCCTCCATTAATAATGGTGATTTGCACGCCTCTGTTTTCCCCAATGTTCAGTCCTCTTAGGGTTGTACCATTTCAGGATGGGGTGTGTGTGTCACAGGATCAAATGCTCCTAAATGTAAAAGAAACATTTCCTGCAAACTAGGGTGCCATGAAGAAATCTAGTCGAGAACTCTTGTTGCTTCACATTCCAGCTTCTCATAAAGCTGGAAGGGAAAGCATTTCATTATGAATTCTGAAATGGTACAGTCCCAGGTGGTCTCTACCACATTTTGGTTGAAATTGAGTGTACAGCAGCCCACTGAGAATGTATCTCAGGGCACATTTCCTTCAGCAGGTGCAATGGCATAACTGCCAATTTCCCCCTACAAATCTCAGCACACTAAAGTAATTTAAAGCACCATGGCTGAATATGTGATCATTCTGCTAAACACACACACACACACACACACACACAGAGAGAGAGAGAGAGAGAGAGAGAATGTCTTATACATTTTGTCTCATATACTTAAAAGCCTGCATTTTTTAAAAAATAGAATTTAACAGCAAAGCACAGCATTGTAGCGTTGTGAAATTTCCCTGCTCAAAAGCACTCCATTATTCAGGGGAGAATGAGAATCAGTATAATGTACCCCAAAGAACAAATCACTGGTGAGTAACAGACGAGCAAGCAAGATTGCAGCTGAATGTGAAGTTGGGAAAACAATCAGCATTTACGCATAAATTATTTGTTAATAAGTGGAAGCGGTTGGGGGTAAATGGCAAGAAAATTGCTTCAGCCCAAAGGTGCAGCCACTGCTATAATCCTGGCAGGTGTCAGCATCTACCTCCTCTGTCCCCTGGTAAGCTCTCTTTGTGGAATCCACTAGGATAGTATCAGAGGAGCACCAGGGATGTGCTGGAGGAACCCCAAATGGCACCTAGCCCAAGGCTTCCTCAAAACTAGCACTGGTCTAGCATCTCAGGCTAAGCAGATGTTGCTTCTTCGAGGAATGGAGTAAGGGAGAGAGATGGCTGCCTCCTCTGTGCTATTTTGTCACCTGCACAGATGAAGCCACGCCCACCTCTGGTCACATGTAAAGGAAGTCTGTCTGAGCCCAGGAGGAAACAGGAAGTTCCAACTGGCTGGTCCAGACATCCCCTTTTTATGTCCACTCTAGGAATGTTGTATTTGACTGCTCTGTGTTTCACATCCCACAAAAAATAGATTAAGATCCTAGTTGCTTCATACCAACAACATCTGGAGGGCTACAGGTTACTCACCTGTGATTTATAAGTTGCTGCTATTGTTAACTAATTGGGAATCAGAAATCCTTGGTGATCTATCACAAATCACCCCGGGATCTACCTTCTGCCTACCTCTGCTCTATATTATCTAACTAAACTTTAATAAAATGTGCCACTGTAAAACTGTTCCTTTAAAAATCAAGAGATAAATTTTGATTCTCCCTCTTTAAGGGCTACATTTGCTAAATCTGTACACAACAGCCATCATATGCACGCCACAGAACACACAAATTACTTTTCAAACTAAAAGAGATTTTTTTCTTAGTTTCAAGGTGTTTTCATTATCATAACAAAGAACCGATTCTCAAAAGAACCTGCAGGTGCCTTTGAATATATTACAAATGCTTAACAAAAACATAATTGTCCAAAGTGGGGTGGGGGGGACTCCTTATTTGTTCTCAGTCTTGGTTAGATTATGTCTCAAAAGTACTTTCTGAATACAGAGTTGTCGTCATCCATTTTATCATAACAGTAAGAGCGGGCATAAACCTTTGCAGTAGGTAACCAATCAGTGGCTCTCCAATTGTTCCTTGATATGCTACCATGCGACCTCTTCGTGAGTGTTACCCTGATTGGTTTGCAAGGTTGCAAGACAACTCTGGCTGTTTCTGAGCATTCATTCAGATATGTATGAACGGAGGGAATGTGGTGTTGCAAGTGTCGTTCCACACTTCCCAGTGCATTTTGCTGCTACTTTCCTTTTCGCAAAAAGGCTGGTCACTTGGGGAAGTGGGTTTGTCGCAGAAATCTTTTGTCGCACAAGATTTCCCAGTCAAATATACTTGTGCAACCTGTATTTGGCAGTGTGTGATTGAATCCCACCCGAAGACAGCAAAAGTCTGGAAATGCCCAGCAACATCCATCACCCCGATGGATTGTAGGACTACGGGTCCTTCCACTTTCATTAAAACAGTAAACTAGCTGCTATTTTAAACAGTTTCTTTGAACAGGATCTAAGTAGCAGTATTCTAAATAGTTGTCAGTTCTTAGTTTCTCTGCTAAATAATTATTAGTGATGCTCTGTTAGCCGCTTTGAAACTCCCTTAAAGGGAGTGAAAGGCGGGATATCAAATCCAAACTCCTCCTCCTCCTCTTCTTCTTCTTCTTCTTCTTCTTCTTCTTCTTCTTCTTCTTTCAAGAAGTTCTGCCCAGACTAAACAGTATTAATTTTGCTGTTTGTGTTCCCCCGTTTTCCCACCCCCATCTCCAAATACACACCACCCCTATAGTCAGTCTGCCCCCTGTGGCCTTTACTTGGGGTCTGGCAACCAATCCCCGCTACCCCCAAGTCCACAGGAAAAAACCAAAACACCCAGAAGTTGACAATGGTCCGCATATGATATCCTTTTACTGCCTCCTCTAAATGTTTCCATTATAGGATTCTGAAATCCTGTTTGTACTGAAGAGACATACCCTGCAAAAAAATATGACGACGTTTTAGCCAGAGTTTACTGTTATAAAGTGAAGGCAATTCAACATGAGAACCCTGGGGAAAGCTCTTAGGAAAGCTTGCATGTGCTGTTTGTGGTGAGGCTTTGCTGCCGCAGGTACATTGCCATATACAGTGCTACCTCGGGTTAAGAACTTAATTCATTCTGGAGGTCCGTTCTTAACCCAAAACAGTTCTTAACCTGAGGTACCACTTTAGCTAATGGGACCTCCTGCTGCCACTGTGCCGCCGCCGCACGATTTCTGTTCTCATCCTGAAGCAAAGTTCTTAACCTGAGGTACTATTTCTGGGTTAGCGGAGTCTGTAACCTGAAGCGTCTGTAACCTGAAGCACCACTGTAACAGAAAATGATTGAGGACATGGAGCCCGACCCCAAAGTGATTTTTAGATATGTGTTTAGTTTCGTATTGAAACAGGCTACGCTGTAGTTTTTCCTGTTCCCGCTAGGGGGAGGTTTCAATTTCAGCCGTTGGGACAAGCATCTCTGCCTAGGAACAGGGAACTGTTGCTTTTTCCAAGATCAAGAATGTTCTTTGTGTATCAGCAGGTTTTCAGAACTCAGTAATAACTTGACAGAGTAGGCTAACAGTACAGGGGGCAGATGTATTCCAAATAAGCAATATGAATCTGGAAGCAATGAGTCTCAGAGACGTTGTTGCAAGAAGTTGATGCAAAATGGGTAATCTACCCCTCTGTCTACCACGCTCAATGAGGGCTCCAATCATTCATTAATAACAGGAACTTAACTAACCTAGTGTACAATGATGATCACCTCCGGTGCATTTTCGAATGCCTCCAATAACCTTCTAATTGTGTGCAGGCTAACCTGGTGTCTAGCATGATTGCAATGGGGCCACTGGGAACGGGAATGGGAGAGCGGCTGCAGTGACTTGGCGGTGATTGATTGCCTTCATTCCCATTTTATTCCCAGCGCTAGGTGCGCACGGCTTCTTCCACGGTGCAATTTAATGAGATTTGCGACATGGATACCCTGGCTAAACCGTTCAGGCTGGAAGTTTTCATTTGCTAGTCTACATTTCTTCTGATGAGTCTTGAGAGAGTTTGACTCCGGCAAGATTAGTGAGGAAAGGGGGCAGGAAAAGTGAAGGGCGTTTGTCTGGTTTTGGGACAGAGGATCATCACTGTGTTTATTTGTGTATTTCATGTAGAGATTAAGGCGCAGATTGATAGGTGAAGGGTCTCGGGGAATGAGAAGCACAAAGTCTGTTTGGAACTGTCCCGTTCCCTTTGAAAATCCCCCGCTGTGCTTTCCTGCAGAGCTGACATGTTGGCTGAGTTCTTCCTGTCTGCAAAACAAAACAAAAAGTCTGTTTTTCTTTTTTCTTTTTTTTTAAAAAAAGCCCTGCCCCCCCAAACCAAGCACGTATTAATCTAATACAGATTAGATTGTCCTAAAGGCCAAAAAAGACACCTAGATGGTCATGCCTTCAAATCGATCAGCTATAATAACTCAAGGGTCATCGTCAGTGGAAGTAAACCTACATTTAAATCTGCCATTCAAAAATCACAACCATTTGAATGTGTCAACACCAGAGATTGCAGTCAGCCTGAATAAGGGATGGATATTCTCTTATTTTCCTGTCTGCCTTGAAAGAAAACGAAAGCCCATTTGTTGTTACTCTTCAGTGTGTGTTAATGGACTTTATGAAACAATCACAGGATAAAGATAATATATGAACATAAGTCATACCCTCCAACATGCCCAGGTCAAAATCTGGGGAGCACTCCCAGGCAAGTCACATGACTGCACACCCATGGCACAAGGTTGCGGCACCCAAACTGGCTGCCATGCCCTAGCGTGAAAAATGGGATGTCCAATTTTCCAGGGACAGTTGAGGGGTACCCAAAATTGTAATGATAGAGACCACAAGACTTTCTGATACTACCTTCAATTTTGTCTAGGGACGGATAGTTCCATCAGTTTCAGTTTCTTGTGATGTCTAATTTTTCCCAGTCTTAAATTCTGTTAGCTACATTTCTGCATTAGATTAGTTTTTCAAAAGAATCATAAAAATTCAATCAGCCTTTTCGTCTGCATTTCTTCTAATATACACATTTCTGCAAGTCATTTCTCCTAATATAATGTATTTTGTATGCTGTTTTTCACTAATGTGAACATTTTAAATGCATGCTTTCCCTAATATACACTTTTTTGTTGGAGAAATGTGCAGCAAAATTAAGAGAAGCACAAATGTTGAAGGACAATTATATTTCAGGCTGCTTATTATATTTGAAGTGTAAACAAAGTAGGCATGCATCATGCAAACCAAACCAAATTTCTTTTATTGCTTTAGACTTCAATCCTAACCTCAATCCTAATCCTAGGAGGAAGGCCCACTGAATTCAATAGGACTTACTTCTGAGTAGATTTGGATAGGTGCTGTCAAGATCATTAACAGCTTGAAGCAGAGATCCAGGTGTAAAAAAATGGTAGAGACAAAGGACCCCTTGACAGTTAAGTCCAGTCAAAGGCGACTATGGGGTTGTGGCGCTCATCTCGCTTCAGGTCGAGGGAGCCGGCGTTTGTCCACAGACAGCTTTCTGGGTCATGTAGCCAGCATGACTAAACTGCTTCTGGCACAACAGAACACCATGATGGATACCAGAGCACACGGAAACGCCATTTACCTTCCTGCCGGAGCAGTACCTATTTATCTACTTGCACTGGCATGCTTTTGAACTGCTAGGTTGGCAGGAGCTGGGACCGAGCAACAGGAGCTAACTCCGTCATGGGGATTCGAACTGCCTACCTTCTATATGGCAAGTCCAAGAGGCTCAGTGGTTTAGACCACAGTGGCATCAGCATTCCTACTCTGATGTACACTCTTATCTCTTTAAGAGATCAGAGAGTAAAGTCTGATCATAGGCATGTCACCGTCACTGGAATGAAGCCATTGTTGTTGGGTGAGAGCTCCGTGCCTATTTTAGAGTGTCCATGCCTTAAAAAAAAATGCTAGGGCGGGCCAGTAATTTTCCTTAAAAAGCTATATCACATCTGTTGCTGCTTAAAAATGTGAACTAGAATTGGTATTTTCCATTTATTCTTGCAAGTTGTAGGATGCTTTAAAAAGGGGGAGAAAAAAGAATAACACGTTTTTAGCAAACCTTGCTGAACTTTTTATGCATGGAAGGGTTTTTATCTTTCTTACATATAAATGTGTTGGTCATTGTCTTTTAATTGTTCTAATGGCTTTTATATATCAAAATGTGCCATTGTTTTTCTTTTAAGATCGCTTCCAGATATTTGATGGGAAGTGATGCACAAATGGAATTAAATAAATGAATAGATCCACTTTGAAATTTATCAACGTTATGCAACTGGGTTGTTATTTCCATCCAGTTGTGGCAGCCAAAAAAGCTGTCAGGATCGCTCTAGAAAAGGCTACAGTTGCCATTATTTCCACTCCAGCTACAAGCAGGATGGAGAGGAAATGTCACAAGAAGATCTGTTCCCATGTGATACCTCCCAGCAGTCTTTTACTGACTTCATATCATTTGGATAAGTTTCAAGGCAACTCTGTATAGGGTATGCAGCTACGCAAATGCAGAGGAAATGGCTTGTGTCTGCTTTCTGTCTGCATCTTCCAAGTCAGGACTGTCTGCGATAATCCACAGGAGGCAGCACTGTGTTCAAGGCGGCCTGCTATATGAGAGACCCTCTTTGCTTTTAGTAATCAGAACTAATTCAATATGGGTCATTTATTCTCCAAACACTAGCATGTCGTGCAGATGAACTTAATAATGCTGCATTGCAAGTGTCTGCATAATTAAAGCCAGGAAATAACATTGGATGTTATTTTCTAAGTGGCATTAATGAAAGTACTTTTTCACCCAATTCACAATTAATATATGCAATTTGTGGCTACAAGAGGTGGTGGTGACCAGAAGTCTAGTGTCAAATTACACTTGACATTAAACAAGTGGCATAAGAGTGTGTTTTTCTTCTACAGCTGATAGCAGCTGGGGACCCTAATCATAGCAGCACAATGATGATTTCATTGTTACTGATTACTGATAATCTCATTGTTTTATTCTTTTTGTGAACCGCTTTGAGGTTCTTCTTTTTTCCACAATCAGTATATACATAAATAAATGGGATGGGAGGGTCTTTCCTTCCACTCTGCAATAGTGATTAATATTGCCCCTCTGAAGCTGCTACTTGGCAGGTGCATAAAGCCTCCATAGGTGCCAGTGGTAGCTGTTCTCCCATGCCATATAGGAGCTTTAAAAGACAGATTTCTTTGTAGAGATGATGGTATGGGAGGACAAGGCAAATCCTCCACATGTTTCAAAGTCACATGTAGCTGGGCCCCATGTTGACTTTATAGGTGGTGCTGTGGTCTAAACCACTGAGCCTCTTGGGCTTGCTGATCAGAAGGTCGGCGGTCCGAATCCCCGCAACGAGGTGAGCTCCCGTTGCTTGGTCCCTGCTCCTGCCAACCTACAAGTTTGAAAGCACGCCAAAAAGTGCAAGTAGATAAATAGGTACCGCTCTGGCGGGAAGGTAAACGGCGTTTCCGTGTGCTGCTCTGGTTTCAGTGTTCCGTTGTGCCAGAAGTGGCTTAGTCATGCTGGCCACATGACCTGGAAATACTGTCTGCAGACAAACGCCGGCTCCTTCGGCCTGTAAAGTGAGATGAGCACCGCAACCCCAGAGTCGTTTGCGACTGGACTAACTGTCAGGGGTCTTTTACCTTTTTAGACAAATACATGGGGAATAGTTCATAGCCATTATGCAGCTAATAACCATATTACAGCTACTAGCCATAATTTGGATTACTAGAAGTTGTTGGGACTCCTCCACAACAAACCTACTTCCCCTAAGAATTGGACTTTTTGCAAAAAGTGACAGGAAAATGTGCCTGAATGTTTGGGGGAAGTTTGCTTGGCGCAACACCATTACCTTCTCTGTAAACAAATCAGAATGAATACTCAATGTCTACTCTCCCTGCAGGGAGATCAGGATGAATGCTAGTAAGCAGGTTGTCTGGAAGTGACATTATAGGGGTATAGATGTGCTTGGATTCAGCAGCTCAACAACACCATGTGCCTTTAAATTATTCTTTGGCAATCTTGTCCCCACTTCTTTGAGAACAGTGTCTACTGAAGCTGATCCATCGACTGTGCATCCAACACAGGAGAAACAGGTTGTGCAGCCAAACTCAACAGAACTGAAATCCTAAACAATTCCTGCAGGGAACTGGTATGTGCAGCCAACACAGAACTGAATCCCATGCTTTGCCCATCAGCTGACATCACCTGCCCATTGGAGTGATGTAGCCTGACTGACAGGTGGGTGTGGCTTTGATAAAATAGTCTCATGGGCCAAATTGGAGCACCCAGAGGGTCAAGATTGTCCTGTGGGACAGAGGTTCCCCACTACTGCTCTTTAATACAATCTCAAACATATCTGGGAGTAAGCCCTGTTGAATTCAATAGGGCTTACTTCTGAGTAGACCTGGTTACTATTGTGCTGGAGTCTACAACCTGATGTGCCCTCTATATCCGTCCCAGGGGCAATCATTACATCATGTTGTTGTTGTTGTTGTATGTTTATACCCCACCTTTTCCTCTGACAGGGACCCAAGACTGCTTACAAATAAAAGTAAGAACGGCTAGTCATTCAGGTCAGTACAATTGTATCAAAGCTTCCTTTAAATTTGCTATCTGCGCAACTCTTCTTTGATCTACGCTAATCATCGCCCACTTTTTCTGGCTCTGCCATTGGAGTCCTGAGCAATACTTTCACTGTCAAGCTCCATTACCTGAAACTTCAAAGGACCCCTGAGTGATGATAAGCCATTTTCTGAAAAACATGAGTAGGTTAGTAATCAAGATGAAGAGTCCAAAACAGAGGCTTCTGAATGATCACTGCCACTTGAATATTCAGGGAAGAGAGGCAAAATTCTCCTTGTTGTGCTTCCAAGGAGGAATCAGTCAAAAGTCAAATTAAGTATGTGTCTAGTGCTTTTTAAATATCAGCCAAATAAATACAAGTGGTTTCACTAGAGGAAACAGTTCGTGGTGGTATAAGGAGTAAGATTCTTGTTATTCTAAAACTGAATGTTTTAGCCCAACAAAACACATGAAAGACAGGTTAATTCCATTCACTCTGCTTTGTAAAAATGGGACCCAACAATAAAGTTGTTTGATTCAGACTGAAACAGATCATTTCAGGCAGCTTGCCTGAGTGAAATCAGGATCTCTTTGAAGTTCCCCAAAAGTGGAAACCTCCCAAAAGTTATTCCCCAAGCTTGCCATAAAAAGCTATTTGTGGTGGTTCTGTGGACCAGAGTGGTGATGTTTGACCTGCTTAAATGGGTTGCTCACTTCAGCACAGGTGCATGATGAGTAATGCTTTTAGATTTGCCTTATCTTTGGATTCCCAAGTGGCATACGTGATAATAAGCACCTTTCATTAGCTGTGGTCCCTTCTTGAGAGAGATAGCCTTGCCGCTGTTATCCACATTCTCATAACTTCCAGATCAGACTGTTGTAAACTTTTGTATGTGGAGGTCCTTTGTTTTAAGAGTCTCCTTAGAAATTTTTATTAGTCTAAAATACTGCTGCAAGACTAGTGATTAGGCCCAGCCAGTTAGAGCACATCTTGCCAGAGCTTTAATTTCCATCTGTTCAAAAACCAATTGTTCTAATTTACCACTGCTGAGCAGCATACTTACAAATATGCAGACCTTCTATAAACCAAGTTTATAGAGTGAGCCTTAAAAAGTTTAATGATAGGTTTTGTTGGCTATACTTATAATTCCTCGTGAATTTACAACATTTACAAGTTCTGAAAACCATCTGAGAAGGCTGAAGAAATCTTGACCCTGGGAAAATATTTCCCCCCCGTGATGGAAGTTGTTCAGTTATGTTTCTATTTAAATAAACACGTATAAAATACTACAAATCTGTATTCAACAGGGAAATTCTCCGTCTAGAATTGTGATCTCAAAAATTTAGAGTAGAAGGGATGGCAAGAAAAGAGGACTAATTTCCTGTAAATACCAAATGCATCACTATGGAGAAAAGTATGAGAAATTATTTGGAATCGGTAGCTTTGGAATAATTTGTTCAATGTTGCCAAAAGTTTGCCCTGAGTGGTATGGGTAATGACATTCCTATTTCTGAATGTCATCATGTAGTCTTATTTCCTGATAAAAAAATAAGCCATCCTACACCAAGAGGGAAGAAAACAGAGTAAAATAAGGAAATGAGTGGAGCAATGTCAATTTTGAAGGTTTGTTGTTATGCACATTCAGTTCTCACCAACAGCAGATTAAATTTTCTCCCATAATGATCGTTCAGAGCATATAAGAAGAATATTGATCTTCTTGTTATTATTTCTTTAACTCAAGGGCATTTTTTGTACTGTACTTTTAGCAGCTTTACTTAACGTCCAAGCAAAAGATGAAATCGCCGGGATATAGACTGTGGGAAGAAAAGAAGACTGAATAAATGAAACAGAGAGTATGTTTGTAAAAGAGAGGTCTCATTAATGTGGATGTGAAAGGCTCTTCTGACATCCTGTCTTTCCATGCAGAGGGGTTTTCTAATCAGCGACGGACATAAATATCAGTCACATGAAATGACAGATGGTATGAAGGCAATCAAATCAGAGAGCAGTGATTATGATAGCCCCAAAGCATGCTTGTGAAAAGGGAGGTTAAATTGTGGAGTCCTCAGAGTGCTATAAAACACAGGGAGAGAAATGGCCAGCAGATTTAAGTACACCCTAGTGGTTTGCGGGTGGGGTGTGGAGGAATCAACAATCCATACTCCAGCTAGAAGAACAGAAGGCTAATGATTAATCTATGACTGAGCATTCAGATTCCTGTAGGGGAAAAGGCAGAAGGAAGGAAGAGTCTTTATTACTCATTTAAAAGGAAGCTTGAAAAGCTATGCCAAATTAATACCCACATAAGTTCCAGGAAGGTAATGGGAAATGCAAGATCTCTCCTTTTTTTAACTGCACAGTAATGAATACTGTAGGATCCAGCAGAGACTGAGTCACCTGCCTGCCATCTTATGGCAACCAGTCGAGGGTGGCTCTGCCTGTCCTTGGTTGTGGCTTTCCCTTCTGCCTTCCTCCTTCCCTCATTTCCACCCTGCCAGTCCCAATGGGCATCAGCCACCACTGGTAGGTTCAGCTTTGTTGTTGTTTAGTTGTTTAGTCGTGTCCGACTCTTCGTGACCCCATGGACCAGAGCATGCCAGGCACTCCTGTCTTCCACTGCCTCCCGCAGTTTGTTCAAACTCATGCTGGTAGCTTCGAGAACACTATCCAACCATCTTGTCCTCTGTCGTCCCCTTCTCCTTGTGCCCTCCATCTTTCCCAACATCAGGGTCTTTTCCAGCGAGTCTTCTCTTCTCATGAGGTGGCCAAAGTATTGGAGCCTCAGCTTCACGATCTGTCCTTCCAGTGAGCACTCAGGGCTGATTTCCTTAAGAATGGAGAGGTTTGTTCTTCTTGCAGTCCATGGGACTCTCAAGAGTCTCCTCCAGCCCCATAATTCAAAAGCATCAATTCTTCGGCGATCAGCCTTCTTTATGGTCCAGCTCTCACTTCCATACATCACTACTGGGAAAACCATAGCTTTTACTATACGGACCTTTGTTGGCAAGGTGATGTTTCTACTTTTTAAGATGCTGTCTAGGTTTGTCATTGCTTTTCTCCCAAGAAGCAGGCGTCTTTTAATTTTGTGGCTGCTGTCACCATCTTCAGTGATCATGGAGCCGAAAAAAGTAAAATCTCTCACTGCCTCCATTTCTTCCCCTTCTACAGTGGTGCCTCGCAAGACGAAATTAATCCGTTCCACGAGTGTCTTCGTCTAGCAGTTTTTTCGTCTTGCGAAGCAACCCTATTAGCGGCTTAGCGGATTAGCGCTATTAGCGGTTTAGCGGCTATTAAAGGCTTAGCGGCTTAGCGGCTTAGCTGCTAAAAGGCTATTAGCAGCTTAGTGGCTTAGAAAAATGGGGGGGGAAAGCGAAAAAAAATCTTAAGACTCGCAAGACATTTTCGTCTTGCGAAGCAAGCCCATAGGGAAATTCGTCCTGCGAAGCAACTCAAAAACGGAAAGCCCTTTCGTCTAGCGGGTTTTCCGTCTTGCGAGGCATTCGTCTTGCGGGGCACCACTGTATTTGCCAGGAGGTGATGGGCCCAGTGACCATGATCTTCGTTTTTTGATGTTGAGCTTCAGACCATATTTTGCGCTCTCCTCTTTCACCCTCATTAAAAGGTTCTTTAATTCCTCCTCACTTTCTGCCATCAAGGTTGTGTCATCTGCATATCTGAGGTTGTTGATATTTCTTCCGGCCATCTTAATTCCGGCTTGGGATTCATCCAGCCCAGCCTTTCGCATGATGAATTCTGCATATAAGTTAAATAAGCAGGGAGACAATATACAGCCTTGTCGTACTCCTTTCCCAATTTTGAACCAATCAGTTGTTCCATATCCAGTTCTAACTGTAGCTTCTTGTCCCACATAGAGATTTCTCAGGAGACAGATGAGGTGATCAGGCACTCCCATTTCTTTAAGAACTTGCCATAGTTTGCTGTGGTCGACACAGTCAAAGGCTTTTGCATAGTCAATGAAGCAGAAGTAGATGTCTTTCTGGAACTCTCTAGCTTTCTCCATAATCCAGCCCATGTTTGCAATTTGGTCTCTGGTTCCTCTGCCTCTTCTAAAACCAGCTTGCACTTCTGGGAGTTCTCGGTCCACATACTGCTTGAGCCGTCCTTGTAGAATTTTAAGCATAACCTTGCTAGCGTGTGAAATGAGTGCAATTGTGCGGTAGTTGGAGCATTCTTTGGCACTGCCCTTCTTTGGGATTGGGATGTAGACTGATCTTCTCCAATCCTCTGGCCGCTGCTGAGTTTTCCAAACTTGCTGGCATATTGAGTGTAGCACCTTAACAGCATCATCTTTTAAAATTTTAAATAGTTCAGCTGGAATACCATCACTTCCACTGCCCTTGTTATTTGCAGTGTTTTCTAAGGCCCATTTGACTTCACTCTCCAGGATGTCTGGCTCAAGGTCAGCAACCACACTACCTGGGGTGTACGAGCCATCCATATCCTTCTGGTATAATTCCTCTGTGTATTCTTGCCACCTCTTCTTGATGTCTTCTGCTTCTGTTAGGTCCTTACCACTTTTGTCCTTTATTATGGTAATCTTTGTACGAAATGTTCCTTTCATATCTCCAATTTTCTTGAACAGATCTCTGGTTCTTCCCATTCTGTTGTTTTCCTCTATTTCTTTGCATTGCTCGTTTAAGAAGGCCTTCTTGTCTCTCCTTGCTATTTTTTGGAAATCTGCATTCAATTTCCTGTATCTTTCACTATCTCCCTCGCATTTTGCTTGCCTTCTCTTCCCCGCTATTTGTAAGGCCTCACTAGACAGCCACTTTGCTTTCTTGCATTTCCTTTTCATTGGGATGGTTTTCGTTGCTGCCTCCTGTATAATGTTATGAGCCTCCACCCATAGTTCTTCAGGGACTCTGTCCACCAAATCTAAATCCTTAAACCTGTTCCTCACTTCCACTGTGTATTCATAAGGGATTTGATTTAGATTGTATCTTACCGGCCCAGTGGTTTTTCCTACTTTGTTCAGTTTAAGCTTGAATTTTGCTATA